CGGAAGTCTTTGGAAGAAAAGCAGAGAGCCCTCGATGATAAACGGGAGCAAGTTAGGGATGCATTGGATAATAACAAGTTAGTTTGATCTTATGGTTCAAGTTGTTAACTGCTTGCATTTAGAAAGATTGACAGTACTTTACGAAAAGAAGCAATAGAGTTAGCCAAAGGTTCTGACTGGGGTTCTCAGGTTTCTAGATTCTTTTAATTCCGTTTGATTTCTTTTTTATTAATTAGGTCAATGCTGTTGACGATGAATATCGCTGGGCTGGGACAAAAGATCCCAAAGTAGTTATAACTACTAGTAGGGATCCTTCAAGCGTATTGAAAGTTTTCGTAAAAGTCAGTCAAACCTGCGAGTGTGCCGAATCATATTTCTGTTCAGGAAATGAAGCTGATATTCCCCAACGCACAAAGATTGAATCGTGGTAATTGTGATGTAAAAAACCTTGTCCAGGCTTGCAGAGCTAATGATGTTTGTTTGGTTTTGCTAATGATTCTCATATTATCTTAAAGGTTACGGATTTCATTCTGTTCACCGAGACTAGGGGAGTCCCCGATGGAATGATAGTGTGTCATCTTCCCTTTGGCCCTACCGCATGTTTCACTTTGAATAATGTTGTTTTGAGACATGATGTTCCTGATCGAGAGAAAGTCAGTGAGCAATATCCTCATTTGATTTTCCATAACTTAAAATCACGGCTGGGTCAAAGAGTATGTTTGTAAACGGCTACTTCTACTCATATTATACTTGTTTCAGTTCACCAGCATTTTGAAATACTTGTTCCCTGTTCCAAAGAAAGATTCTAAAAGAGTCATAACTTTTGCCAATAATGATGATTTCATTTCCTTCAGACATCACACGTTTAAGGTTTTTCATATTCATAATTTTCCTAAACAGTAGCCATTTTCAGAAAGATTCTGAAGGAGGGGAGTATGAATTGAAAGAAATTGGACCTCGATTCGAACTTCGTCGTATGTTCTTCCAATAATGAGCTTGCCCATCATTATTTACCTTTCAGCATATTGTATCAAATTGGGTACCTTGGAGAATTTAACAGCAGCTGAAGATGAGTGGGTGTTACGCTCATACACGAACACTGCTCATAAGAAGCAGTGGCTGACAATTCAGGAATCGGATGAGGATGAGTCGTAACTTTTGAAGTTTTTTACTATTAAAATGAAATTGTTTTTGTTGGATTTGTTATTTGTTGAAACATCCTTGTTAT